AGAAAAACCATACAGCAGCCTCACTATAAACCTTCGTAGCTGCCTGGAGGAGGAAAATGGAAAAGAGGACGCAGAAAAGCCACAACTTTGGGGTTAGGAATGGGGATTCAGCAAGCAAACATGTGACAAAAGGGAGGTAGCTTAAGAGAAAGAGTGAATACCACAAAGTACTAGAAAACATTAAGTTAGATCCTGTCACATATCCAAAAGGAAAGAAGAGAAATGAAAAGTTGCACCTTTGTGAGTCAGAACTTAATGATGTTTCAGAATGACTGCAGCAACTGCACAGAGAACAAGGATTCTGGGCAGTTCAAGTACAGAATTTCTTTAAGAGGGTTAGTATCCCTCTCATCTCTTAGCATGGCATGAACTGAACCTGCCTTCTTGGGTGGTAGTTCCTTAACTAGGTGATTTACTGGCCCCACTGAATTACCTATTACCTTTGCTTATTTCATACTACTAGGTGCTCCCCCCTCAAGTCAGAGGAAGTTCCCATTCTCTTGACGATGGAAACAGCATTCCCTTAATGGCCTCAACAGAGCCCTGATTAAGGCTACTGTAACAGAAAAACATACTATGGAAACTCATGAGTTTCCATAGCCTCTCCTCTGAAATGAAAAGAAGTTTTTACTGGCTTGGTATAACTGGAATACTTTGAACTTTCTACCAAGTAAAGATTGTCCTTTGACACTTCAAGTTAGATATAAAATTCAAGCTGCTGCTGGGCAAACCCGTCTTATAATCCCCTGCCAAAAGAACAGAATTCCCTTATTTTATAATCTAAGCATCAACCTGATTATAAAGCCTGACTTTATTTTTACAATTTGATCTTCTTTTCACCTCTTCTGATGTCTATGACCCATCCCTCAGCCTTCTCCTTGCTCCCCTAGCCTAGGACACAGCATCTGCTGAGCTGAATTTTGAACATCATCACATGTCGTCAGCCTTAGAAACCTCTTCCAGGTATCTGTTGACTGCCTTCTCTCAATTCCTATAGGTCTCTGTTCAAAGTTTACTATTGGCCAGGCCCCCTTGATGAATATATGAGGATAGATGAAGCCACTGCCATTCCCAACTCTGGTATTTGTCTTTCCCTTCCCTAATTGTCTTTCAATAAAGAATTTTCCTGTTGTTACTTATCTTCAATGCTTATAACTTATAAGCAAGAGCCTCCAGAAAGTATATATTGAGTTAACAAACAAGCAAATACAAAATGATTATGTGTCACTGTAGGGGGATATATTATGTGGAAAATGTGTGGTTCTTTTTATCATTTTTTATTTTAAAAACAATCTTTTCTCATTTTACATATCAATCCCAGTTCCCACTTCCTCCCCTCCTTCTGCTAACCCCCTCTTCCTCCCACCCCACTCCAAATCCACTCCACAAAGAGGGGAAGGCTTCCCATGAGGAGTCAACAAACTCTGGCATATCACTCTGAGGCAGTACCAAGGCTCTCCTCCCTCTATCTAGGCTGAGCAATATCCCTCCAAAGAAAATGAGCTAAAAAAAGCCAGTTCAAGCACTAGGGTTAAATTCTGGTCCCACTGCCAGTAGCCTCAAAGACTACCCAAGCCTTACTACTGTCACCTACATTCAGAGGGCCTAATTTGGTCCTGTACAGGTACCCCCACTGTCAGTCCAGAGTCAGTGAGCTCCAACTAGCTCTTTATTGAGGGAGTCTTTATGGGGCTAGCAAGAAACCTGACATTAGGGAAGTTTCTAGGAATCCACAAAGGATGACTCAGCTAAGACTCTAAGCATTAGTGGAGAGGGTGCGTGAACTGGCCTTCCCCTGTAATCAGATTGACAACTACCTGCATTATCATCATAGACTCTTCATCCAGAAACTAATGGAGGCAGATGCCTACATGACAGCTAAGCATTGGGCCAAGATCCCAAGTTCAGTTGATGAGAGAGAGAGGAGGGATACCCTGAACAAAGGTGTCAAGACAAGTTTGGGGATACCCATAGAAACACCATGTGGTTCTTAAAATGAGTTTCCCATCCACTCTCTCTATATAACCTTTGGTGGTTTGAATTAAAATAGCCATCTAGGCTCATATATTCAAATTCTTGGCTCCCAGTTTGTGGACTATTTGGGAAGGATTAGGAGATGTGGCTTTATTTGAGGAGGTGTGACAGTGGGGGTGGGCTTTTGGGTTTCAAAAGCCCACATCTTTCCCAGTTAGCTCTCTCTCTCTCTCTCTCTCTCTCTCTCTCTCTCTCTCTCTCTCTCTCTCTCTCTCTCTCTCTCTCTCTCTCTCTCTGCCTTCTGCTTGTGGAAAAAGATGCAAGCTGTCAGGTACTGCTCCAACACCAGGCCTGCCTGCTGCCATGCTTTATTCCATGATGGTCATGGACTAACTCTCTGGAACTTTAAGTCCTCAATAAATTTTTTTCTTCTCTAAGTTGCCTTGGTCATGGGGTCACTTCACAGCAATTGAAAAGTAAGATATTATGTAAGCTTTAGAATTGTCATCTGTGAAGAGAAGAATAATCACTTGTATCAGGCCTTAACTTGGCTTCTAATAAAGACAGTCTTTCTTACTTTCTCCCTGTTTGCTAACATCTCTTTTTCCATGGAATAAATGTCAAATGATTCACAATTTCTGGAATGATTAAAAGGAAATTTTTTGGTCAAGAACAGAATACTGAATAAAGAATATTCCTGTGCAAAACCATCACCAAAACTAATGACTGCCTTGCTTGTGTTTGATTACAGGTTGGATATGACATATTAACTAGATACTTTCTCTCCTCAAGGTGCTGTCAGGGAACCCAGGAAGAAATATGAGAGAGTGGCTTCATAGCAACATGAAAATCCATGCAGCTACATCTGCTTCGGGAGAATGTTAATTCTGGAAATAAGACAGAAGTCATAAGATGGGAGTATGGCCACAGCAGGAGCCTCCAACTGAAAAAATTAGGAAACTGCAGAAAATTTCAGTGATGTCAGACTATGAATGTCCCTAGGTTTCAAACTGAACATTCTTGGCTTAGGCCTGTAATTTGTGGAAAGCTGCTGAAGTTTTACAATACTGGAAAAACTGTAGATCATATGATGGGAATGGCAAATTTCAAGGCATTTGTAAAGACTTCTGAAAGCTAACCACTAAATAACATTAATGCGCCCAAAGTACTTATTCAGAGAGACAAAGGATGTGCTTGTAGGCAAGAATGAATAAATATGCTGCTCTTCTCTGCTCCTCACTATTTGACATACACTGGATGAGAAAGTTTGGAAGTATTGAGGATTATAAAAATCATAAGATAATATCAAAAAAAGTCAAGACACTAAGAGAGTATGAAACCCAGTTTCAAAAAAAAAATATGCAGAACCCTAAGTAAAGAATCTCCAAGATTGTCTCTGCGACATCCTTAGACTCTTCCTTTCACCATGCTTCCTTAATCATTCTTGAATCAAAGTAGAAAAATAATGACCCTAAGAGTTCAAAATGCTTTAATTTCTACACATGTGAGTGTAAAACAGTAGAATGCTACTTGATTTACATCAAAAGGAAAAGTTTTTATCTCTAACAAAGTCTACTTAAAGTCTTTGCACAGTAGAATTCTATAACTGCACTAATCAAGGAATCAAAGTTTTAGGGCACAGGAAACACTGGTGCTATCAAAATGCTGGCAATTTAATAACAAGATGATACTTGTATCTGCCTGGGTTTATTTTGCTTGGGATCCACTCTTCTCACAGCATGGACATGATTTTTTATTTCATCAAAGAGCTTTTGATAAGGTTCTCACAAGTCCCTATTATTGAGATTTGGTAATTATGGTGTGAAAGGAAAAATTCTATCAATGAATTAAATGAATTAAAAATGCTTAAGAGACAAAGGGGCAAAATGTAGAAATGAATGGGTAATTCTCATGTGGAGAAAGGTTAATCATTAGGGCTGTGAGGCTTTGCAGTAGAATCAGGATTATATTTAACTATTGATAAAGAAAGAGGCATCTATTTTTCACTCTCATACTTTGTGTGTATTGGTCCCACACACAGATCCTCCAGTGACACAAAGAGCATTTGATATGTGGAAGAGATTATGGTGTAGAGAAGTGTTCAAAATCCAGGAAGAACAAATGAGTAAACAAATATCCAGAATTTCATGGAAAGGTCTCAAAATGCAAAACAAAGAAATAAAATTATTGTAAGTATTACTTAACTTTCTATGAATCCGTTCATATTACATGGAATAACATGGGCATTTGAACAAAGCCTTAAGTCATTGGCATGACAAAAGCAAATCTTCAACACTGGATGACAACATATATAGGCATTTGGAGTCACAAAACCCATGGAGATTATTCCGGCAGGCTGAAAAATTTAGAAGCAAACAATTTGATAGGAAGAGTAAGATTACTTCTTTATTCAGAATTCAAAAATTTGTATATGTTTTCCAAAAGTACAATCTGATGTCATGAATGGAAATTTAGAAACCAAACACTCAATTAATATGACTCTTTGATGACTCATTACTTAAACTAGCATTTCCCATCACAATAACTCATTCACACTAAGGTCTCAGAAAATCTAATGAACTCAGTTTCACTTCCACATATTTTGGTTTACTTATCTATAAAATGGGATCAATAGACCTACTTCACAGGATAAACATAAGAGTTAAATGAGATGATATACAGAGCATATACTGTACACAGGGAAAGTACAATCAATGTTAAATTCTTGTGCTTGTTGTTAACAGTTTGTGATGTGCTAAATTCAAACAGTTACATACCACAAAGAAGAAACCTAGTTGGAGTCACTGTGACTTTGTTTACACCACTGTTAGAATTTGCTAATTAATAAAACATTTAAATGCTTTCGAATATTTTGTTTCTAACAACAATAAACTATTTTAAGATGTCGTTTCATTAATCAATTTGGGAAATGAAGAGAATTACAACCTGATATAAAGAGGGAAGGCCTACAATGACTCTCCTAATGAGAATCAGAAAATGCATTCAGGCATTGGGTCCAAACTTACCGTGCAGATAGGATTTTAACAAGCTCCTTTCTATTCTGCACCCGAAGATGGTTTGTTTTATACTTGGAATCATTAATCAACTCAGGCAAATTCAGGATCTAAAAGGAAAAGCAATAGGTATAATTCAAAATTTTTTCTCAAACCTTAGGTCCTGGTTAGATGCAGCGTTCATAGTCTGCCTATCCCTTCTTTTCTTGTCTTCATACCTCTCTACAAGTGGGTGGAAGTAGAAACATACGACTGCAGGAATCATATTGGTGAATGTGTCTTGTCAATTATATGAGAGTGCTTTACTATATTCATCCATATGTGCCTATATATGGAATCACAGAGAAGTTATCAGATGTCCATAATGTCATATATATATATGAATAAAGACAAGTTATCAAATCTTCAGAAAAAGTCTTATCAAGAGGTACATGGACAAAATTCCAAAACTAGATAAAACTAGCCTAATTCTAGCAACAAAAACCTTCAGTGCCTACGTTCATTTATATAAAACCTACAGTCAACATACATCTTAGGGGCACAAACTTATTTGTTCCACATGTTAACAAAATGATAAAATCGGATACAGTAGCCCTATTCATGATTTTGTCTAAGACTCAAAAATAAAGGGAAAGCACATGTATTGGTCCAAATTCTAACCATTCAAAGAACATCAAATTAAAACATCTTCTTACTGCAGAAATGTCTCTGTTTTTCTTTAGTCTGTCTCCCTGAAGAATACTGACTGGAAATGCTACTATATACTTCCTCCACAACTGCTTCTCACTAAAGGGAAGATCTATATAGCAAATTTCTTTGGATGTTGTTTAGTTTTAACAAGACCATAATGATAGTACCAACTAGATTTGAAAGGAAAAGGACATTCTGAAAGAATGTGTGAAGACAGAGTTTGGCAGTTGTGTTGGAAAGTCAGAAAGAGCATTTATGGGCTGGGGGCAAGCCAGGTGCCCAACAGAAAGCCTTACTTCCTTTATTAATGTGTTTGCTTTCAAAATAAACACTTAATGGTTTCTCTTGTTTCCCAGAGTTTAAATAAAAATAATCCACTAATCATCTTAAAAAAGAGAGAAGTAGAAAAGATTCCCCAGAGTCAAAGACCATCCCAGTGGTATAACTTCTCTTTCACATCTGCCCCTTACTTCTCTCTACAAGCAACATTACTCTACAGAATTTTAAAAAGGGATTCTGCATACAGTGCCCTTTCTAGACACATCCCTGTCACTACACCTGATACCAGAATTGGTCTCAATGCCTGACCTGTTCACAAACCTCCTTCTGAACACTATGTCTTCAAAATAGCAAGTCCTTACCCTAAGTAATAGGACAAGTTTGTAAGTCAGGCTGCATATAAAGCATGCTACTGTCAGCAAAAAAGACACCAGGTGACTGTTCCTGGAGGTTACTTTGATACTTAATGTGTCCTTTGCATTTGACTTACTGGGCTTTGTTTTTCAAACACATTGCAAAATTGGGGGCCTAAATAGTTACACACCTGTCCTCAGCTCTGCAGGTTGTCTAGATAGACAGTACTAAGAGCATTGAAGGCATTGGAGGGAACAATCTAGCTCCAACTTGCATACCCATGCTGTGACACACACACACACACACTCACACAGAGATATAAAATAAGCCTTTTTTAAAAGAATTATTAGAATATGACTTTTAGATAAAAGAGAAGTAAACATTGGCAAGTTCAAAACACTCAGTATTTCCTCTTCCAGTGCAAGTGCTAGGCAATTCCTTGGACAGGGACTTGTTACAAAAAGGTTTGCAATGGCAACACTCAGTCACTGCCATGACAGTCCCACTTCAACTTTCTGAAGTGACATGACATCTCTGCTTTAGTTTTGTGCCTTCTACAATTCTTTTACCTTAACTTGACTCGGTGAGGGATCATCTGTGAACCTAAGTATAAATATTTGTATGAACCTAAGTATAAATATTGGGGTGCTATTTGGCATGAGTACTATGCCTAATTATCACACAATAGCGGTGACCTTCCCAGTCACTGGCTTTTGGCTTTTCCTTCCAACCAAAAGCAACATATTAGACTACAATAATCTTGTCACTACTGCACCAGCAGGCACATCATACCAGGCCAGTTGGTATTATAGTAAACAGAGTCCATAGCTGAACAAGACTATTGGGAACAATTTTCCCTTAGTAGCTTACCTAGTGCTTCCTGTCACTAAGGAAAGCCAGTAAACAGGTGAGAGTTTCCAGCTTGGTCTCAAATTGATCTCTCCACATCCTGAAGCAAACACATGCAATATTTTCAATAGCATGGACTTGCCACCTGGTTTTAGCCTGTAATCAATAGTGGTAGTTTGTACAGCCTTAGGGGCCTCCCTGATCAACAATTAGTAGAATAGTAACCTGGTTCTGGCATTAAGATTTTCATTCAACCTCTGGTTCTTAAGAGTCTTTTTCTACCCTCAATGACATCTTTATTCAAACTCTGTTTTATTATATTTTTTAATTTAACTTTTTTTCTTCCCAATTTTTACCCTATGTGTCCTTTTTATATGTATTGTGGCTTCCAGTTTAGTTTTCAAGGGATTCTGGAGGATATAAATGAGTGAGTCTCTGTTTCTTATGCCTTCTCTTGGACTCTTTTTCTTCTGTTTGTTTGTTTTATCAAATTCCAAAGTGCTGGGTTTTGTTTTAATTTATTATATTGTATTATTATCCCACAGAAGCCTGTGTGTTTTCTAATGAGGGACAGACAGTGTGTGGATCCAGATGGAATGGGAGGTGGGGAGGAACTAGGAGGAGTAGAGAGAGGAGAAATCATACTCAGGATGTGAAAAAATATTTTCAAAACAGGAAAATAATTAAAAATAAAAAAGAAATTTAAAAAGAAAAACAATAATGAATGTACTGACCATAAAAATTCCAATATAGCACACAACTAGACAATGTGCAGCAAGTGAGAGGTTTTGGAACACTTTAGTCCCAAATGCTATATCTTCATCAAACACCTACCCTCAGGGCTCTAAGAACTAAGTAGAAGAGGAGGTAGAAAGATTGTAAGAGCCAGGGAAGATGGATGACTCCAAGAAAACAGTGTCTTCCAGACTGATGCACACATAAACTAACAGAGACTATAGCAGCATGCACAGAGTCAGCACAAGTTCAAGCCAGACAGTGCTGAGACGAGGGAGTGAACGAAAGCTCCTATCCCAACCCAAGAAGCTATCTCTGATTTTCATCTTCCTGCAAAGGAAAATTTAGTCCTCATATGGAGTCTCCCTGGCTGTATTAACCACACATAATGGTAGACCCCACCCCCGGCAGTAGATGACCAACAGAAAAAACAAACTCAGTGGTATTTCTGTAGACTATGGGTCTAATACAGTTTGGGGAAATTTGTGTCTTCCTAGCCTTTTGCTTGTATAGTTTGTTTTCTGATTTTTGTGTTCTTATGGATTGTGTGTATTTCTAATTTTTTTCTTCTTTTTTATTATAATGGTTTGGTTGCTTTGCCTATTTGTTTTCTAAAGAAAGAAAAGGCATGGAGTTGGGTGGGTGGATAGGCATGAAGCAGGATTGGAGGGAGATAATGATCAAATTATGTGGTGTGAAAACAAAATTTCCAATTAAAAAGTGCCATATTAAAAAAAGATCTCAAAACTTGTTTTATGAAAGAGCAATATTGGATCCAGCAGCCATAGATATAAAATACTATTCTATCTAGCCATCCATAACACACAGCTCTTTTTCATGTACCAGGCAGCCTCCTCATCCTGGAGTGCCTCTGCTGCAGGACTACTGCATATCTTCCTTCCCCTGGGAGGTCACCTTGAGATGTTCAGTGTACCACAGGGCCAGTGGGGTCACGGTCATGTTTTAGCATGCATTGCTGGCAATTAGAAGTGACTTCTCAGCATTGACAGGCTCTTGTCCCACTCTGGCTCTTGCCTTACCAATGATCTTATTTGAAAGAACCTGGGCTGGATGAACAATCTCCACCCTTAACCTACTTTATTTCAAGGGAGAAAAGTACACTGCTGAATATTCAAAACCAATTCTTCAGTTCTTGGTAAAGCTTAATCTTTTTTACCTTTGTTGTTTTTGTCATTTATATCTTCTGTGAACTATTACTCTGATCTTAAAGCCTTCCAGAACCTCAGTGGCATAGCATTTGGCTTTCTGTCAAAATTTTCCTTAGAAACTGACTTGACACAAACCTTGCCACACTTACCTTTAAGTGACATGTCTGCTGCCTTTTATCATCCCCTCTTGATTGTTTTATAACTTTTGGAAATCAACTTACATGGTTGTCTAAATCATTTATATCTGCTAAAACCTCTCTTAAATTCATAAATATCATATCCCATCATGGAGTTTGGCAAAGTCACTGAAGCCCCATACTAGCTTTGAGGTCCCTACCAAATCAATCTCTTTTTAGCTCTCTTGTGTATACACAGTCTATCCAGCTGAATGAACTGGACATCAAACATGAGCTCTCTCCTGGCTCATTCTCTTAGTAATACACCTGTTTTTTCTCTACTGTATTCTAATCCTTGATATTCATGGGAATCTTGGAATCTTAGCTGAAAATAACCAAATACCCCTAATTACTCCTATGATCCAGTCCATCAGGAAATGGTTTTCTTAGTTTGCCTGAGTTCTTGTCTTAAGGAGGGATGGGAAGTTACATTGCTCAGTTTCTCCACTTTCACTGAACGCAGAATAATCCAAACCCATGTGTCACAGCATCACAAGCCAGCTTGTGAGAGACTCATTGTTTAAAAGTCATTCTTTGCTGAGCCTGTGGCACACACCTTTAAACTCAGCACTTGGGAGGCAGAGGCAGGCAAGTCTCTTGGGTTCAAGGTCAGCCTGATCTACAGAGTTCCAGGATGGCCATGACTACAAGGAGAAACCCGTTTCAAAACAATAATAACAACAATAACAACAGTGTTCTTCATTCAAGCAGCTCAGATACTGACTGTTCCATAAATAACAGAGTTTCTTATAGTGATCCATTATGAAAGTCTCCATCCTCATACTGAATCACAGATTTTCCTGCCCTCTCTATTAAAAGGTCAGACTTCTTCCATAACGTCTACCTCATTTTGTTTCT